GCCAACTCTTGATTTAACCCCATTAACTACTCATCTCTTTCTCAAAGAAGTGATTGGTTTGAGCTTGGCTCCAAAGGTCAAAAGTACTAGGAGGTCCCATGTTCAAATCCAAGGAGGAATAAAAATCCTCTTGTGGCCACAGAGGTTCAAATGCGATGACTTTGGTTATCTGCAAAGCAAGTGGTTGCCCTGGAATTAGTCGGCTCACATAGCGGGTTGGATATCCAGGTTAATCAAAAAAGAAAAGAAAAAAAAGAAGTGATATTTAAATTTTTCATGGGGATGCAACATATAATCTATCTAGTTTTCATTTGGAAAACTTGGATAATTAAAAAGAAGAAAATTTACCCCACCTTTGAACTTCATTTGATTGCACATGAAGTCTATTTTGAGCTATATCTTTATGATATTATTTTCTTCGACATATTCATGAGTCTTTGCAATTCCAATGCATTTTCTTTGTGATTATGTCAGAACAATTTGAGAAGTTACTTCAATAGCTTTACGTCAGTGATAATTGAAAGCCTTATTAGAGATTAATAACTACCAGCTTTGAAAATAGGTCACATAATTGAATTCGTTTTGATGAAAGTGTTAACAGTTGCTAAACGTGCTTCTGCATTAGACGATTACCTATTTTTCTAGGGGAAGGAAATTTTTTGTTTAGAAGAGATTTATTTTTAAGGAGGAGAGAATTTTTCATCTGACAAAGATATTTTTCTGCGAAGGAGATAATTTTGATTAGTGTAAAAGGGGAGATTTTCTGAAAATTCTTGACAAAATCTAATTCATTGTATAGGGGGAGATTGTCTGAAAAAGTTTTGTTTACTGATCTATATTATTCATAAGGGAAGCAATTCAAGTATTTGATAATTCATGATGTTTAGGATTCTCCTAATCATCATTAGGGGGGATAAATAATATCAAAGACATTACACAAAGACATGAATAAAAGATATATGGGGGATAAATGATATTGAATTCAAAGATATGTGAAGCAAGTGTTGATGTCAAAGGGGAGCTTACAAATATTCATATTCATAAGTGTAAAGGCAATTAAAGAATTCAAGTGGATGATTAACTGGTGTATTGTTCAATCAGTTCATGGAAAAAATGACTGTTTTTAAATCTGTCGAGTCTAAGGTTGAAAAGCCTTTAGGTTCAAAGATTGTAGATGAGATGAAGAGATTGGTGCAGAATTGTTAAGATTCATTGTTGACTTATCTGTGAAAGTTTCATTGAAGCTAAAAGATAAGTTGTTTGAAGAAGTTTGTTGATTCTTTCATGCTTGATTTAAAAGATTGAAGATCTGGTGAATGTTGATTACTGAAGACCATTTCAAGATGTTTTAAGATGAAGATGTTATCTGAAGATTTTTTTGTTAAATACAACGGGGAAGATTGTTTCAAAGCTGAAGATTTGTCTAAGTAACAAAGTTTAATCGTTTTCAAAGAAGGAGATCATTAAAGTATTGATATTTGCTAAATTGTAATCTTGAATACGAAGGAAGAGATTGTTAGGTTAATAATATTGACCGAGATTACCAAGCTTAAAGACTTGAAGAATAGTTAAAGATGAAAGTCAACATGATCAAAGATAGTCAAAGATGAAAGTCAACATGATCAAAGAAAGTCAAAGTTGTAAATAATATTCAAAAGTTAATGTTCAATTATAGCTTGATTGTAGTTTGACCTTGTAATTAGTCAAGAGTATAAATATATTGTTAATGGTGGTCAGCAGTAAGAACTTGTAAGGGAATTTCATTGTAATACATTTTAGAGAGGAGTTAGAGAGAGAAATATATAGAGATTGAAAATAATATCAATGACATGATGATTTGATCTCTAGATTTTTGTTCTTGATTGTTGAATTACATTGTTATCTGATTATTGTGATTATAAGTTATGTAATTTAGATTGTAATGTATTGGATCCATAGGCATGTGAGTCAGTCTTCTTTCATTGGTTGTGTCGGTGTTGCAGGGTTTGACTACCGTGTGTATTGCGGGGTTGGACTTTAGGACCCTTTTTTTAAAGATTTTGGCCTAGTTGAGTAAGCACTAAGGACTTGAGTCTTGAGGTGCTACCCGAAGTGGTAGGCACTAAGAACCATGTCTTAAGGTGCTACCCGATGGGGTAGTAACTAAGATCATGATCCTTGAAGTGATACTCCAAAGAGTAGGCATTAAGATTATTAAGTGTTGAGGTGTTACCCATAGTGGTAGGCACTAAGAACCACGAGTCTTGATAAGGATATGAGCCTTGAGGTGTTATTCGTTTGGATAGACACCAAGGTCAATTGAATCTTGATATGCTACTTGATAACGTTGATGTGTGACTTACTTTGTGCTCGACACATTCGATGGATACAATCTCCCTTGTCACTTTTTGGTGTTATTCTTAGATAGTGTAATATCCATGTATTAGGGTTGTTTGGTTGAAGAGTAATCATAATTTATGGTTTTGGTATATTGGATCTCCTCCATATATTAATGTTTTGGATAATAATCCTTATTCGTGTGTGACTATTGAATTTTGGTTTTATGTTTGATGGATGTTTTAATTAATGTGTTTTCATCACGAAAATGTCGGGTTTTAGGAAAGATATCGCTTTTATTCTAAATTCATTTCATCTTGAAAATTGTGATTTAAATAACCTTATTTCCGTTTTAACCATTTTATATATCTGATGAAAACTGCTTGAACTACTTAGGCATTAAACCTAACATTTTTCTTTGTCGGCATGTGCATCAGGTCCTTGAAGAATTGGTACTAGTGACATAGTGATGAGATGAGTGCTAGTTAGAGGCACAAGAAGTAATTGGTAAAATGGAGACGTCTTCCATAATTTAGAGATGGCGTCAACTATTGGGATTTAGTAGTACCCGTCCTAAATTATAGAGTTGTGTAAGGTTTGGAATATTGTTTATTGATGTTAAAGCTTGGATGGCTATTATAGGTAATAAATTGTGAATTCTTATATGGGGATTTAACCCTTATTTTAAGTTCTATTGAAAATTTTAATTTAGTCTCTCTGTCTAGATTTGAGGATGTTATATTTACCGATTATAGCCAAAAAGTAAGGCAAGAATTGAGAAAGAATGCTACATAATGGATATTGGGAATGACTGTCATCTCATAATTTGTTGAATAATGCACCCCCCTCTTCCGGAGCATCTGATAATAGCCCATTCTATTACAACAGATGATACACAAATAATGATTTTCATTTTCATTTACCATAGTTTACACCTTTCGTCTGTCCAAATTTCTTCCAAAATCACCAAAACCCAGCAGGTAACTTGTCTCGAACCACATAAGAAAATTTTGATCATAATTATAGTGTAGGTTATAAACTAAAAACCAAAATTAAATATATTAAAAAGGTAAAGAATCAAATATCATGTTAAAAAAATTAAAGCTTGTTATAAGGATTATTTCATGCCAAATCTCCTTCTCGTATCTCTCTAACTCCAAAGAAACTAAGGCTAGTTTTTTAACCATAACGGTTGCATTTAGTTTGATGGAATGTTTTTGAGGAACTGAAATTGGAGGGATTTGTAAGATTTGAAATAGAATTGAATTCCATTCTTCATAAACTAATTATGCACCCGCGTGATGCAGCGAGATGTAAAAATTTCCGTGTAGCCTCACATTGTAGCAGTATGCAAATTTGTGTAGCTACAAAACACAGTGCAGTGCAGTGCAATGCAAAATTTGAATAAATGCGAATGAGAATATTGACTATGTTCAAGGAATGTGATGGTAAATTATGATGGTTCTTTGATTGCTTTATCATGTTTTTATTTGTGTCACAAATACCAAGTGTATCATATATAGTTCATGGTTCGAAAAAGAAAACATGAAGAATGATGTATGGTTCCTTGATTCTGGTTGTTCGAATCATATGTGTGGTGATCAAGCAAAATTCTTAAGTATCGATCATGAGTTCAATACAAGTGTGAAGCTGGGAGACAATCATCGGATGGATGTTACTGGAAAAGGAGATGTTAGGCTGTGGCTGAATGATGTAAGTCACATCTTAACAGATGTCTATCTTGTTCCAGACTTAAAGAACAACCTGATCAGTCTTGGACAACTACAAGAAAGAGGGCTTGCAATATTGATTAAAGACGGGGCTTGTAAGATTTATCACCCGGTTAAGGGGCTGATTATCGAAACACCAATGAGACAATCTCTACATACTTCATCAACCTTCTCAAGTGATGGTAGTCCTCGCACCATTTTCTTTGTCTCCAAGGTTTTTAAACCGGTGTAGTTTAGGTGACCATACCATCGGTGCCACAAGTTTGTGATCTCCTGATTCTTCGTGAGAAAACATTGATCCTTCTCTTCTTTCCTTTCTGATCCTGCATGCAACATAAACATTCTTTGCTTGCTCATTGGTGTTTCGATAATCAACCCCTTAACCGGGTGATAAATCTTACAATCCCCATCTTTAATCAATATTGCAAGCCCTCTTTCTTGTAGTTGTCCAAGACTGATCAGGTTGTTCTTTAAGTCTGGAACAAGATAGACATCTGTTAAGATGTGACTTACATCATTCAGCCACAGCCTAACATCTCCTTTTCCAGTAACATCCATCCGATGATTGTCTCCCAGCTTCACACTTGTATTGAACTCATGATCGATACTTAAGAATTTTGCTTGATCACCACACATATGATTCGAACAACCAGAATCAAGGAACCATACATCATTCTTCATGTTTTCTTCCACCTCTGCATAAGCCATCARCAACATCTCTTCGTCCTCCTCGGTGTAGTTGGCTTCTTTGTTCCCKTCTGGGCATTCATAAGAAAAATGCCCAAGYTTGTGGCATCTATAGCACTCCACTGTTGCTTTGCTGTACATAGACCTGCCTCTACCTCTGCCTCTTCCTCTTGGTGACGATCTACCTCGGCCACGCATTCCTCGTCTCTCTTCCGATGAGATCTTTAGAGCCTGCTCTTCATCTCCTTCATTGTCCTTCTTAAATTTCTATTCATGCACTAGAAGAGAGCTTTGTAGTGCATCAACAGACAATTCATCAATGTTTTTGGACTCCTCAATGGAACAAACAACATAGTTCCATTTTTCTGTAAGAGTACGAAGTATCTTTTCAACAATCTTGATATCATTCAAAGATTTTCCACAGCTTCGCATTTCATTGACGATAATCATTACCCTTGTAAAGTAATCTCCGACGGACTCTCCGTTCTTCATCGTCAGAACTTCGAATGATCTCCTAAGTCTGTTCAACTGAGCTCTCTTTACCTTCTCATTTCCCAGGTATCTTTCTTTCATGGAATCCCAGATCTGCTTGCTTGTCTCCCTCTTGGTGAACGTCTTCAGTACGTTCTTATCTATCGCAGCGAATAGATAATTCTTGGCCTTGAGATCTTTCAGCTTCAATTCAGCATTGTTCGTTGGAACCTCAGTTTCAACAACACTCCAGTACTCTTTGGAGCGTAGCAAATTCTCCATTAAGAGACTCCAGTACTCATAGTCCCCATCAAACTTAGGGATGTTTGGCTGGGAAAAACTTGACGCATCTGAAGCCATCTTTCCTTTGCTATGTGAGATCCCTTACTCTATGTTTCTCTCACTTTCTGTGTTTCTAACTCTCACAGCACTCCTAACCTGGCTCTGATACCAATTGTTAATTAAATTGCAGAGAGCAAGGAAATAACAATTGGGAGGAATGCTACTTCTTATTCATCAAAAGTGGGCTCTTAAATAGCCACAGGAAATACAACGACTTGAACTGAAAAGCTAAAAAACTGGAAATAACAAACTCCTAAGGACTGCCCTATAGACTAGGACTTCATTAAGTAACGTGCATATTATGCACGTGATCAAATAAACCTACAAGAAAGGTTATTTAAATAATAAATATTTCTTTGGTGGCCTACCTTTTAGTACAAATATTTCGTATCCCACCATCGTGCCAAAGTTATATTGCTAGTAGTTACCATGTAAATTAAGCATAAAGATTCTAAGATCTTGCATCTTCAAATGGAATCATTTGCAGACATAAGGTTATAATTCAAACAACAATTATATATTTTAAACTTTCCCAGGGAAGAGATGTCCAAATTCGGTTACACTTGTAATTGACGGTAAATTCAGTTGCCATCCCTCACCATACAGTTCAACCAGACTTCTAATCAAGTTACGTTTTAGCACAACTATATAAATCAACAAAAGAACATATGGAAGGAAATAAAATAGATTGATTTCACAAGATTTTTTCTTTCTTTCTTTCTTGTCTTTTCTATCTGTGTCAATGCCCATTGTACCTCGACATGACATGAAATGAAAGGATTGGTTTTTACAGTAGGCTGTGAATTTTTTAAGCTGGAGGGTCACTCAACTGCCAGATATCTACTCATTGCTTTAATGATACTTGTAATAGACAAATAGTTAAAAATAGAAACCGAAACCACTATCAATATGTGCACTCCATTCATATTCAGTATATCAATCCCTATCTACAAAACATGAATCACAAATTCTCAAGAACGGATCTTAAAGATCAAGAAACACAATAATGGGATCGAAAGTAACCTAGAATTCTTTGACATCAGAGAACTTTGATTGTTTTGCCTCTTGACAGCAGCAATAAGTTATCTTCGAGCTGTGCTTCATCGATTGTAAACCCTACGAAATCTTGTGAAATACCAACCACCCTTAAGGTCAGAATCCTATATATGTTTGTAGGATTCAAATCCAATAAATCATTCAAATCAAACATATATAAAGATTAGAATGAAATTCAATTTCAGATCCAACTACACGGGACCTATTTGATTGAACCAATTAAGCTTATATATATATATGAGTTAGGATAGTCTTTGGTTTCACCACATTGACAACTTTACAAGACATAAATGAACCAGTATCAACAATCATGCTGCCTTTCAAATTCTGATCTTCAAGATTAACATGTTATATTGAGTTTTCATCATCGAAGCCCGACCATGCATATTTTCTTCACGAATCCAGCTCATCGTTAATATTATGAGATCCGTGTCATCATCAAAATTGAGTTGTAAGATGAGTTTTTAACATATTTTAAACCATTATTACCTACAAGACCAATCTACTGTTTGGGACCGACTAAGATACAATAATATGTTTTGACCCTCAAAAACCTCTAATGTGTATAACAAGAAGTTAGCAAACTTCAAAATTTTGACTTCCAAAGGTGAAAAACCAGTTCTTCATGTGCCAAGAAAACCATCAACAGTAACCTTAACAAAGACTATCTACCTTTTATTTTCTATGCCTGTTTTTGCTCTAAAGACTTTATTCAAAGATAACCTCTCCTAGTTCCTGCTAAACAAGAATCAATCTCTCTTGCATTTTCACCTAAAAGATGACGTTGCGCTAAAATTATGTCCTTTCTTGTTGTGCCATCCGAGCCAATCGATGGATTCATCATAATCTCCAGCTTTCGATTCACTTCCGAGTTGCATGATAGAGCTCCAAGTAATCAAGCGCAGGCCGGTTCCAGGACCAGTCTTGCTCCATCACAAGTTTGCATAACGAGTTAAACCAATCGCGACCATCGTACCAACCAGATATCGCTCTGAAATGAAAATTTGGAAATGTAAACGTGAAATTTTTATTTTTTTAGCTTCAAAGGGATCATGTACTTGCCTGTTGATTGCGTAGTCAACACCAGCAATATCAGCTACTTCAAAACTGAAACCGTTTGGTTTGAGACCTTGAGATTGTGCTCTATCTTTATCATCATCGACATCAAATACGGTATCGTAGAGTCCTAAAATTGGAATGGTAAAATCACAAAACCATGTATATAAGAAACAAACTTTACAACTATATGGGTTTTGTTAAAGATTTAACATCCAGATTAGTCTGTCATATATTTCCAACAATTTCAATGTACTATGAATTTCTCTCAAAATAGTAGCATGTTTGACCTCAAAAGACAACAGTAACCTGTTTACCTCCAGTTTTGCGCACAATAGGCACCGAACCATATCTCATCGCAGTGAGTTGAGTTAGCCCACATGGCTCAAATATAGAGGGCACTAAGATGAAATCGGCACCGGCATATATCTATATGACACCAACATAAGTTAATGTAATGCAGGAAAAAAGTTACATACGATAACCATATATAATAATTAAATGAGAACCCCATATATTGTGAGTTAGGATATTGTCTCTCATGATTATTTTTCATCATATTCACAATATATATATACATACCAAGTGTGACAGAGGCTCGTCGAACGTTAAACATAAACGTGCCCGCTCATTATGCAACGAATGTAGTTGACTGGCCAAATTCACGAAATCATTTTGGATGCTAGGATCTGGTGCTGAGCCTAGTAGTACAACCTGGAATCCTACATTTCATTAGCGAAGCTATGACGATTTCTATTATACAACCCATCACAAAGTTGATCGATGGATTGTAACAATACAAGTCATGATGCAATATATATTGACCTGTCCCCCACGATCCAGGGTGCGCCAAATGGCGTGTTTGATGAGATGGATTCCCTTCTGATGTGTCAACCGTGTGATGATTCCAACTAAGGGTAGATCAGCCTTTTTTAGGCCAAGTTTGTGTTGCAAGGCTTCTTTAGCTGCCCGTTTTCCTTCAACAACATTATCTGCAGAGTAAGATACCTGAAAACACATTACAAAATGCAAAATTTTAGCCAATGATACAGGAGAAAAAACAAGATTAAGATTTTCAGGTACATACAGGAAGAAACTTATCATTATATGGATCCCATATATCGGGGTCGATTCCATTAAGTATCCCATGGAACTTGTGCAGATGAGGTGCAATAACTGGATTTCCAGCAACCTCATGTGAATAGGTTGGAGAAACCTGCGAGATAAGGTTTGAACCAATTAAATCCAAATACGCACAAACTAGAAACTATTTGCTACAAAACAAAACCAAGTGAAGTGAGTAAATCTCATTTTAAAGGTTCTCTAGTTTAAAGGTTGCAATTTTAATTGATAGATAGATAGACTAATAAGACATACTGTCGTAGCCTTGTCCGCATACGCCATTGCTTTTCCAATCAAATGAGCCCCGAATTCAAGATTATGAATTGTGAAGACAACACTTGCTTTACCCAACGAATGATGCATATAATGATCCTTTAAGAGCCATGCGACAGGTGCACTCGACCAATCGTGGCAATGAATCACGTCCTGTAAGCAATGACAAAACAAAAGGCTCATATAATCTATAACACAATCTTTAAGCTATACTTGTATTTCTATATATACACATATAATTCGTGATACCTACCTACACACGGGCAGCCTCACTAAATGCACGTTATCTATGTTCCTTTGAGAATATCATATCGAAATTTCAACCATATGGATGAAAAGAACATGAAAAGAGGAGGATTTATAAATTTCAATTGAAGGTCCTTAACATTATTTGGGTTTATGACGTTTCTATTTTGTAGGTCCCATACTCCTTGTCATATGTACTTAATGTGAGGCAAATGTAGATAGGGCCTATGAAATCGATGGATAATGGGCTATACGAGTCCCCACGGCTTAATTTAGTGTAGCGAGTAACAAGGTAGACCACTACCAAACAAAGGCACTTTTCCCACGGCCAAATCCACGGGAAACATGAATTTCCGGGGGATTTGACCGCCGGAAAATGTGGCATCGGTGATAGGTTTTCCGTCAAGTTTACCGGCGGATGCTTGAGTTTACTTACGATCCATTAAATCACAACTAACATCCGTTAAAGACCAATACGATGCATTAAATCTCAACTAACATCCATTAAAGTCCAATAAAACCGTTAAAACCCAATACAATCCAGTAAAGCCCAACAAACATCCATTAAAGTCCAATATAACTGTTAAAACCCCATACGATGCATTAAATCCCAACTAACATCCGTTAAAACTCAATACGATCCATTAAGAAAAGAAAAGTTTAAATAATGGGAAAAAAATAAATCCGCCGTAAAATGTTAAAAATGATTTTTAATTTCAAATAAATTTCCGGCGGATAATAATTTAAAAAGATTAATTAATTTTCTGCCGGAAAATGTAAAAACCGATTTTTAATTTCAAATAAATTTCCGACGGATTTATTTTTTAAAAAGATTTATTATTTTTCCGCCGGAAAATGTTAAAAATGATTTTTAATTTCAAATAAATTTTCGGCGGATAATAATTTAAAAAGATTAATTAATTTTCCGCCGGAAATTGTAAAACCCGATTTTTGATTTCAAATAAATTTCCGAAGGATAATAAATGTAAAAGATTAATTAATTTTCCGCCAGTAAATAATTTTGATTAAATTAAAATACAAGTCTAATATAATTAATTAAGAAGCCCGCCGAAAATTTAATCAATCTAATTTTTCTGGCGGATTTCCGGCGGAAGTCAATAGAAATTGACTTTTTTGAAGTCCGCCGGAATATTACCGACGGAATCCGTCCGCGGAAAATATATAGTCATTATTCTAGTAGTGGACATCCTTGCAAAATTAGTGTAAGGTCTAGAGTTTGACTTCAGCCACCACCTCCACCAACCTATTACTATTCATGAGATGCAATTTACCTCCCCCCATAATAGTCATGAGATCAATAGAGTGGGTGGTGTCATAACTGAATCATAGTACCATTTAAGATTTTCATGTTTGATTCATCCATAATGTTGACATTAACATATATACTATAATAAACTTACGGGAAGTGATCCTCTTTGAAGAAGAAATTCAAGAGCAGCATGGCTGAAAAACCTAAACCGTTCTTCATCATTCCTACAACCATAAATGCAGCCTGCCCAAAATAGCCTGATGGATAAAAAGTATCTTGCATTAGGATTTTAATAGCTACGGATAAAGTTACGCAAATATTGAAGAGAGGACCTTTTACCCGTTTTGAGGCTCGAGAAAGTAGACCGAAAGACCTTCAACTTCTCCTAACCAAACTTTTATTTCAGTCCCACCCCAAAAGTAGCTCCTATGAAAACCAAGCTTTTTCACCTATATTTGAAACCATAAAATCGATACAAGTATGAATCAAGACCTATAAGAAGAACATGGGTGAACCGCCAATAATCACAATAACAACAACAAAAAGTTCCGTTTGTAATCTGCTAGAAAAATCCATCACCCACGGATTTTCCATCAACAACAACTTAATTCGCCAAAAAATATCGGGCGGAAAAATCCATCGGTGAAATCTCTTTGTTTGTTTTGTAGTGAAAAGATAGGTGAATGAAACTTACGTTGCTTAACTTCAAACAATCATACTTGGGAAGAATGATATCCACTTGGTGGTTTAAATCCTGAACGGCACGTGAAAGACTAGTGACAACATCAGCAAGGCCTCCCACCTGGAAAAAAAAAGGAATGTGAAACCAATGGAAGAACCTAGAATAAATTATGGAAGACAATATAGCACCCACCGTGGTAGATAGTTCTGCAGAAATTTTGACTTATAGATCAGATGTCTCGGTTACAATAAAATCGACTTTATAAGATGTTAAATATGTCCAAATGTCTTAATAGACGACTGCTCAGCTTGTATACAACTTAAATTTATAAGACCAACAAATTGTGCATCCTATATCAAAGTTTTAATGTTTTGCAGTAAGTTAATTAATAGAATGCTTAACTATTTTTTAGCACAATTTTGAGATCAAGTGTCGTAGTAGCTTTTTCTATAAGACTCTTTTGAGAAGTATCATAGGAATGTATCTTTTTATAAGACATTTTTTCAAATAATATGTCATATACAAAAACTAATATAACACTTTATCTCTACAGTGTCCTAAAAACTTATTAAGACGTCAAAAACATCCTATCAACTTAATTGTAATATGTCCTAGCACAATAGTTTGGTCATATATAAGGACATTTAAACATATTTCACGTTCTAAAAACCCAAAACTTTATGGTGTGGTGCCTTCAATAATAATGGAATATGTAGGAGCTTTTGCGATGATAGTCAATTACGTTAATAGTTCCTAATAATTAAAATGGGTGAATGAGTAATTTTAGCTAGTTCTGAAATAAAAAACCTTGAACTAATATTAGTCATATCAAGAGGGAATAGGTTTACATTGATCCTAGAATACCCTTCAATAAAGATTGAATAAGTGAAGATTTATCCAACAAATTGCATAGCATTCACAATCTACGGAAATGGGTAAAGGCGAAGAATCGTGTGAGAAAAAGAGTTAAGATGAGAAGCGTAAGAAGTGATCTGAACCCTTGATCACTTTTAATTTCATGCCCACCAATGAATTGCGCTTTAAAAGGGAATTGATCTGTTACATCTTGGTGCAAGTCATTAATCTTGACATTCAATTAGGATTGTTCTAATGATAGAGATCTCTTCTTACAATAACTTCGCTTCTCACCGGAACCCAAACCAATCGGCAAATAAGTCATCTTAGTTTGAAATTTACCAGATTAGTATAATGAAACTCATATATATGTATATATATATATATATATATACACACACACACATCACCTTTGCAATTGGAGCCATTTCAACAGCAATATGAACAATATGCATTGGAGGTTCCTTTGCAACTCCTCCAAATACCGGTATGTGGTAGTCCATACCATTTTTATTGTCGAAGGCACCATCATCGCTTTCCCTATCCGAAAACACAAAGTCCATCATGTATGCATCTAGCGGCACTTTAACTACATCACAACAAAGAAACAGATGATCAAGAAATTGTTTTTGATTGTTACAAGAAATGCCAATGAAAGAAACAAACTTACCTGATATTTTGACATGCAGACCATCATCTGCAGGCAACATTTTCTGTGGCGGTAAAAGGCCTATGCGGTGTGTCCAGCGATTAAAAGAACATCTAAACCATATTTCAGGCTTTCCGTTTAGCACGGAGTTAGCAGGATTGTAGAAAACTGTCACAGGTTCTCTGGCTTGGACATCAAGAGGCTCAGTGTAGACTATATTCTTTTGTGACAACAAGAATGTTTTCATACTTCTTCGTTTTGTTTCAGCTTTCATACGTTGCGTTTTTTGAGCCTATACTTGAAAACACACATGATATAAAATTGTAAGGAAACTTAGTCCATGAAAATACAGACAGTCAGTAATTTAAACAACTTAAGGTTTAATGGAGAAACAACCCTTAGTTAATATGTCACATCATGAATAACCGACCTTGGCACGAGTTTCTTCTTCTCTTAACTTTCTCTCATCATGAAGTTTCTTGTATATAATACGTTCTTCCTCCTCCCAATAGAGATCTTGAGGCATAGATGCAGGGACAATAGCGTGGAAATCATTCTGAAGATCGTTGTCATAAACAATGGCATGCTGAGGTGGAGCATCCGCAAAAACCCAATCCAAGAGAAGCGCTCGAGTGGGGACAAAAACTAGATAAAATCGAAGGATTCATTTGGGATTAGACTAAATCAATACTATGCCTACTTTGAAGATGATCATGCCAACATAAATTAAAACCAAACAAACCCAATATATACATACATATACATATGCATATGCATATGCATATACATATACATATTAGTTGTAAAGTAAATTTAAACATCTTCAAGTAACAAAATAACTACATATATTTTGTTTCTTCCTATTAGTTCTCGTTCCTTGTTTTAAAAAAGATTAACTAAATATGTGTCAAATAGAGCATATTGAAGTAAACATAGATGAACATATTGCATGTTTTTTTCTTCCTTTCTGTTGAGTAAAAGATGATGGGCATACCATCAACATACCACCAATCGCCATTGTTTTCCTCAGCTTTTACAAGCTTCGTGACATAGGATAATCCATCTTGCCAGTTGTTATACCCTCCATGGATCCATAAATCTTTAACTTTAGCAAGTGGACCTAAACCCTTGTTATAATATAATCTCACTGTATCTTTGCCTTTGAACTCATTAGGTTCTATGTACCATAAATTGTCAAAAGACTTGGCTGTCTTGTTCAAAACTTGTTCTAGTTTTTCTCTTCTTTTATTCACTTGGGCCCTAGCTTCCGCTCTATCTGTTTCACTTGCAGCCTTTTCTGCTTCAATCTCTCTTTCTTCTTCTTTTTGTTTTTCCATCTCTGCTTCCTCTTTTGCAAGTTTCTCAAGATCTTGTCTCTTTTCCTCAAGCAGAAGTTCTTCAAATTCAACAGCTCCCATTCCACCCTCCACAGGTACCCAAAAATCTTTCATGTCATTATTCTCGTAAACATCTTTCCCATTAAAGAACACAAAGTCTATCTTATATGCTTCCTTTGGAACATGAATCTTGCATGACCACCACTCACCCGTTAGATGTGTCTTGCTTAACTTTTCGGTAAAAGACTTGTATCGCCAATCATTAAACGCTCCTATGATCAAAACATCTGTTTCGTTTATTAAAGTAGAAGCATTTTTGTTGAGGAATATTTCTATTCCTCGATCAGGCCTTAGAACCTCGGGATAACTAAACACTTTCTCATTTCTTAGAACATTCTCAATAACAAGCCTATCCACTTGTTGCTTACGAATTTTTGCTTTCGTCGCCTTTTTACGTAGAAATTCATCCATATCTTGTTTACGTAACTTTTCTTCCATCTCTTGTTTATGTATCTTTGCTTCCACTTGTTCTTTCCATAAATGTTCTTCCATTGATACATCATCAATAAGAGCTCCAATGTCTTTTTCCATTTCAGCTTTATGGACTTGATCTACTATAAATTTGGTATCAATCCCATTTTGATTGGAACTCACATACTCTTTAACCTTTGAACCTTTTAAATCTTCACCCATTCTCCTCTGATTGTTTGGTTTAGGCAAGTACCCTTTTGGTGCAGCATGTTTCGATCTAGCATTAACATACTTTCGTCGTCTTCTACTGGAAAAATCTACAATAAAACAGTCAAGCAAGTTATAGAGTTGTTGTTCTCAATAGAATTTCTCAATAAAAATTCTAACTTTCATGCCAAAGCTTAGACAACTAACCTGAACTTGCAATTATTTGATGTGAAACTCCAACTACCATAGAATCCTTGTGTATGAACTACATAGTAATACAAATGAAAGTAATTATCCCAATATACATATTCAATCTTTTTCTTGTTGATAAAAGTGGAATTCAAAGACAATCACGTAAAATGATTTGAAACACAAAAGTAATTCCCCTAATTTGTGGTTAGTCGAATGAGCGAATACACAAAACGCTCATTAATCATTGCCTCAAGAAAACGAAAATGGCAAAAACCCACATTGACAGCATTCATTTCGATCAATGGTATAAGTAATGGATATAACCGATTGAGTTTTACCTGTGAGAACATGTTTGGTCTTCTGGTAGGAAAAACCCCAACAAAAGGTTTAATCTTTAGAGGGTTTATCTCATTTAGAACTGTATTTCTGCAACTTTGAACGTGCAAAGCTACTTCCATGGCTGCTGCTCTCCTACTACTTCACCACAAAATCAGTTGAAAACCCATTTGATCTCTGTGACATTCTTGTTTATCTTAATCATGTGATGTGTAGGTAATTGAATTGAAAACTTCAAACGAAAAGAGTGAGATCCTACGAGTTAGCAGCAAATTCATGGTTTCAAACCCCAAAAGTTATTAAAATTATACCGAGTCTATCGTACTTCGAAGTTATTCGAAAGTAGGTGTTTAAAGCATGTGTGCATGTGATGGAATTCGTTCCTTTGTCCGAGAGTAAATTGCATAAAGGGTTGTTATATATAATCCTTTTTAACAATTTCATACCCCATACTATCTCACCTACAACTCATTTTTTTTATTTTACATTTTTATCATATTAATATATATATATAATTATATATTAATTAAAGTTCATAAAAATTACGTTTCTTTTTAACAAATAAAATCATTATAATTGTCTCATCAATATCTTCAAAATGAATCCAATATTAAATATTTTTAAATTTAATTATATTTTTAAATATCATAAATCATTAGATTTTTTTATAAATTATTTTTAATACTTTCACTTTATAGTAATTTATATAATTTGTTTTTATATCTATTTCTTTTCATTTTTTATTTTATACATTTGTCATATTATCATACATAATAATACATTAACTAAAATAATTTAAAAATATGTTTCTTTTATTTACAAATATATGATTATAATAATCTTGTCAATACCTTCAAAATGAACATAATATTGAGTATTTTTATTTAATAATATTATTAAATATCATAAATACGTAAAACTTTTATGTTAACATGTTAACATGAATGACCATATATTAACTAACATACATTAATAAATACGTTTTTTTTACAAATTACACCATTATTATTGTTTAGTCGTTACCTTCAAAATGAGCCGAATATTGAATATTTTTGGATTTGATTATGGTGTTGTATCGATATAAATATGATAAGAGTATACAATGAAAAAAAGAAGTGAAGTGAATATATCAAATAAAAATTCGTAAGGGAGAAAATTGTGGATTAGGACACTATTCGATCAATTCTCGAGGATGTTTCATCCTTGCATCATGCAAATACAAGATATAATATGTGTTGGATCGTTTGACCACTAATATGTATGCATTTTTGAATCATTGAATTTCCTTCAAAAAGATGGGGTTGTACCACTTAGCATCAAATGCCTGAAAAGGGCATTCTAATTGTTTCAAGGTACATCATGATATTATATATTTTTAATTATTATGCAAGCATATGTAATATACTTACCGTTATGGACACAACCAATGCCATCTTCTCAACACGTGGTTTTTACAATTAGATACATTCTTGATAACCATTAAGTAAGAGTGGCATTAACATAAGAGTATCCAATGCCACAATGGAAACATTGGATATTTTTCGATGCAACTGCATGGACTATTGCGTATCAATCTTGATTAAACGTGTACAAAAAAATTAGATTATAATTATACTAGTGTATATATCGATCAAAATGATTCATAATATCGCAATTGTTATTTTATCTCTAATAACAACTTATATTTAATAAAATAATGATCAAAAATGTTATTTTTAATTTGTTTCAATGTTAAAACATAACTAAGTTTATAGTATTAAAAATACGTATTTTATTTATTACATTTGATTAATATGATTAAGGCGTACACTACTAAAAAATGGGTATCATCGACGGATTTTTCTGGCGGAAATTCCGTTGAAAAATCAGTAATGGATTCCCGACGGATCCCAAAAAAGTCAAGGAAAGTTTGTTGACTTCTGCCACAAATCCCCCACTGAATTTTCTTAAAAAATAAAATTTTATTTCGATAATTTTCCTGACAGATTCCTGATAGATTTGTAACGGATATTTTACTTATTTATTATTTTAAAGAAACGTCACAGATTCATCGGAAATCTGTCATATAATTGGTCTAGTTTTTTTTAAATAAACTACTTAGTGTTAATTAATTAGCATTTCCAACGGATTTCAATTTTTTTTATGGTTTTTATTAAAAATAATAATAAAATCCGTCAGAAATATTTTAAGGAAAATGTTTTTTATTTTGGATTTCAATTTTTTATAATTTTTATTTAGAAAATTTAAAATCCGTCAGAAATCCGTCTGAAATATTTTAAAAAAATGTTTTTTCTTTATTTTTTTCTTCCAAAAAGAATATTTTGAAGTAAATAGAGAAATGATTTAATATTTCCGACGGATTTCGATTTTTTATGGTTTTTATTTAAAAAATTTAAAATCCATTGAAAATATTTTAAGGAAAAAAAATTTCTTTATATTCTTCCAAGAAAGAATATTCTAAAGTAAACAAAGAAAAGAAATTAAAATTTTCAATGGATTTCAATTTTTTATGGTTTTTATTTAAAAAATTTAAAATCCGTCGAAAATCCTTCAAAAATATTTTAAGAAAAATGTACTTTTTTTTTCTTCCCAAAAAAGAATATTTTAAAGTAATTAAAGAAAAAAAATTAAAAAAGGGATCTTAATAGACTTTAACGGGTACTATTGTGGTTTAAAGAATCTTAATAGACTTTAATGAACGTCTTGAGTTTATTCAGTTCAACTAAGCTTTAATGTTTCTATTGTGTTTTAATGATTCTATTGGGCCTTATTCGGTTCAATTGGGCTTTAGCAGGTACTATTGGGTTTTATTCGGTTCAATTACGTTCTAACGAGTAGTATTGGGCTTTATTCGGTACAATTGAGCTTTAACGGGTATTATTGAGTTTTATTCGGTTCAATTGGGCTCTAAATGGTACTATTAGACTTTAATGGATCTTAGTGGACTTTAATGAATCTATTGAGCTTTAACGGGTACTATTTGGTCTTTAATGGATCTTAGTGGATTATAATGGATCTATTGGGCTTTAATGGATCTATTGAGCTTTACTCGGTTCAATTGGGCTTTTACAGGTATTATTGGATTTTAATGGATATTGATGGAATTTAATGGATCATATTGGACTTTATTTGGTTCAACTAGGCTTTAATAAAGCTATTGGGTCTTAGTCGGTTCAATTAGACATTAATGGGCACTATTGGACTTTATTCGGTTCAATTGGGCTTTAATGAATCAATTGGGCTTTAATGAATCAATTGGGCTTTATTCGATTCAATTGAGCTTTAACGGGTACTATTGGGCTTTATTCGGTTCAATTGCGCTTTAACGGGTACTATTGGGCTTTATTCGGTTCAATTGCGCTTTAACGGGTACTATTGGGCTTTATTCGGTTCAATTGCGCTTTAACGAGTACTATTGGGCGTTATTCGGTTCAATTGAGTTTTAACGGGTATTATTGGGCTTTAATGGATCTTAGTGGACTTTAATGAATCTATTGGGCTTTAACGGGTACTACTTGGTCTTTAATGAATCTTTTTTTTTTTTGAAGTATAGAATATTTATATACGGCAAATGCAACAAATAAACTCACACACCCTCCTCACCTATGGTGAGATTTGAACCTAGGGATGGCAACGGGGTGGGGATGGGGCGGGGTTTGCAATCCCCGGCCCCGGCCCCGGTTTATACACACAGTCCCCGGCCCCGGCCCCGGTCAACTTTCGGTCAACCCCGGTCAACTTTCGGTCAACCCCGGTCAACCCCCGGTCAACCTTCGGTCAACCCCCGGTCAACACCCGGTCAAATAAAAATTAATAAGTTTTTTCTAAGCATGATCAACATAACAACATAATTACATCATATCTAGTCTTGCCTAATAAAAATAATAAAATTGTAAAATTAACAATAATCCAAAGAAATGTAAAATTTAAAATAAGTGTTAATATAATTACATCATATCTAGTCAAGAAGAGTAGAAGAGGATTGAAATTTGGACATATCAATTACAAAGCCCAAGTCCATAAGTCCAACAGGCCGCACATATCAATTATAAGCCCAAATAATCAAAATGTTAATATTTATATATATACCGGGTGCGGGGCGGGTCGGGGGATACAATATCCGGCCCTGGCGCCGGCCCCGGTTTGCCTCTACCGGGGATCCCCGGCCCCGGTACCCGTTTTAGCGGGGAATCCCCGTCCCCGTCCCCGTCCCGGTCGGGTGAACCGGGTTCCCCACCGGGTCGGGCCAAATCACCATCCCTATTTGAACCCCTGACCTCCTAGAAGGCCAAGGGCTACGATACCGCTAGGCCAAAGGCCCTTTGGTGTCTTTAATGGATCGTAATGGACTTTAATTGATCTATTGGGCTTTATTCGGTTCAATCGGACTTTTACAGGTATTATTGGGTTTTAATGGATCTTGGTGGAATTTAATGGATCTATTGAGCTTTATTTGGTTCAATTAGGCTTTTACATGTATTATTGGGTTTTAATGGATCTTCGTGGAATTAAATGGATCTTATTGGACTTTATTCGGTTCAACTAGGCATTAATGGAACTATTGGGTCTTATTCGGTTCAATTAGGCATTAACGGGTACCATTGGGCTTTATTCAGTTCAATTGGGCTTTAATGAATCTATTGGGCCTTATTCGGTTCAATTGGGCTTTAACACGGTTCAATTGCGCTTTAACGGGTACTATTGGCTTTATTCGGTTCAATTGAGCTTTAACGAGTACTATTGGGTTTTATTCAGTTCAATTGGTCTTTAAAGGGTACTACTAGACTTTAATGGTTCTTAGTAGACTTTTAATAGATCTATTGGGTTTTATTCGGTTCAATTGGGGCTTTTACAAGTATTATTGGGTTTTAATTGATATTGGTGGAATTTAATAGATCTTAGTGGACTTTATTCGGTTCAACTATGCTTTAATGGAGCTATTGGGTCTTATTCGGTTCAATTGAGAATTAACGAGTACTATTGGGCTTTATTTGGTTAAATTGGGTATTAATGGGTGGGCTTTATTCGATTATGTTGGGACTTAACGGTACTATTGGCTTTATTCGGTTCAATTGAGTTTTAACGGGTATTATTGGGCTTTATCGGTTCAATTAGACTTTAA